CCGAAAACATTCCCCCTCTCCCATTTTTTGTTCAGATAGAGAGGGAGAGAGAGAAAGAGAGAGAGAGAAACATTGACGTGAAAGAGGCACATCAAGTAGCTGCATGACCCCAACCAGGGTGGGGGAAGAATCACAACCAAGGTACATGCCCTTGACCAGAATCAAACCCGCAACTCATTGGTCCGCAGGCCAACGCTCCAACTGCTGAGCCAAACCGGCCAGGGCTCCTGAGGATATTTTTCTATTTATCTTCAGATAGAGTTGGATGGAGAAAGAGAAAGAGAAAGGGAGAGAGAGAGAAACATTGAAGTGAGAGAGAGACATTGACTTGTCTCCTTCTGCACAACCCTGACCAGGGCCAGGGATTAACTGCAACTGAAGTATGTACCATTGGCTGGAAAGAAACCCTCGACTCATTGGTCTGGGGCCGCTGAGCCAAACCTGCCAGGGCTCATCACTTTAAATATTTCTTGCCACTCCCTTTTGACCTGCAAAGTTTCTTTTGAGAAATCGGCTGACAGCCTTATGAGAGCTCCCTTGTAGGTAACTAACTACTTTTCTCTTGCTGCTTTTAAGATTCTCTCTTTGTCTTTAACCTTTGGAATTTTTTATAAATTTTTAATTTAATTTTATTTTTGGTACGTGCCCCTAGCAGGAACTGAACCCAGGACTCTCTGGTCCGCAGGCCAATGCTCCAACCGCTGAGCCAAACTGGCCAGGGCAACTTTTGGCATTTTGATGATGATGTGTCTTGGTGAGGACCTCTTTGTGTTCATCTTGTTTGGAACTCTCTGTGTTTTCTGGATTTGTATGTCTGTTTCCTTCACCAAGTTAGGGAAGTTTTCTATCATTATTTTTTTCAAATAGGTTTTCCATTTCTTGCCCTCTCTGCTCCTTCTGGCACTCCCATGATGCAAATGTTGGTACACTTGAAGTTGTCCCAGAGGCTTCTTACGCAACCCTCATTTTTTAAAATTCTTTTTTCTTTTTGCTGTTCTAATTGGGTGTTTTTTGCTTCCTTATAGTCTAAATTGATAGCTTGCTTCTCAGCTTCACTTACTCTACTATTGATTCCCTCTAAATTATTCTTTATTTCAGTTAGTGCATCCTTCATTTCTGACTGGTCCTTTATTATGCTTTTAAGGTCCTCACTAAGTTCCTTGAAATTCTCACTAAGTTCTTTGGGCATTCTTATAAGCAGTGTTTTGAACCCTGCATCTGACTGATTGCTTTTCTCCATTTCATTTAGTTCTTTTCCTGGAGTTTGGTTCTGTTCTTTCATTTGGGACATGTTTCTTGTCTTCTCATTTTGGCTGCCTCCCTGTGTTTGTTTCTATGTATTAGGTAGAGCTGTTATGTCTCCTAGGCTTCCTTGGGTGACCTGTTGTAATAGGTGTCCTGTAGGGTCCAGTGACACAGCCTCCCTTGTCACCCAGCTGGGCCCTCAAGGTGCACCCCTCAGGTGGACTTTGCAACCTTCTGTTGTAACTGAATCTTGATTTCTGTTGGCACATCAATGGGAGGGTTTTACTCATGTTGATCTGCTGCAAGGACTGGCTGTGCCCACTAGCCACGAACCTCTAACTACCTTGGATGATCAGCTATGCAGGGGCCCACCATACATAGCAAGACTTACTTCAGCAGGGCTCTGGTACCCACTGAATCCATTCCTTGAATGTATCACTTGTGGAATTGGTTGGGTGGTGGGGCATCGACATGGTCTGAAGCTGTCAAATGGGTTTGCTGGTTCTGGGGCAAGGTCAGCTTCTGCCTGTGTTCTACCTGGGACCACCAGGCATAAGCTACAAAGCGATCTGCAAATGGCTGCTTATTGTGCTGGGCTTGGAGGTGCCCAAGCCAAGCCAAGCCAAGCCAAGCCAAGCTGTGAACCAAGGCTGGCTGCTTCTAGTGCCAGGCCTGAGGCCACTTAGAGAGAGGTATGGGGCTTGCTGGGGCCAGATATTGCTTTTTTGAGAGAATTCAGGAAAATCTGAAGCAAGACCCAAAACAGGCCAATCCCATGATAAAGCCACTGGAAATAGCTTGGGTTGGCCCAAAAGTTAGGTGGGGCAGGGCCTCAGAGAATCACCAGGGTGGGGCAACACAGTGTAAGCCAGGTTGCTGGATTCCCAGGGGGGAAGGGCTCACCAAAAGTACAAAGGCCTCCACCAGCATGTCCATCAGGGAGAAAGCTGTCTCTCCAGCCCTCGCCCTGATGCCAAACAACTCAATTCTTCCCTGTATGTGTATGGTGCCTTTCGAGCTGCCTCCCCTCTGCACTAGAGCTCAGAGGGAGCTGTCTGAGTAAGTCTGTGCCAGGGCCCTTTAAGAGGAACTGCCTGGGGCTCCAGAAGCCTCGGCCTCTCTCAGCCCCAGATCCTGCTGGTTTTTACAGCCAGGTGTTATGGGGACTTCTCTTCCTGGCACTGGAACTCTAAGCTGGGCGCCTGGTGTGAGACTGGGACCCGTTGCTCCTCAAGGAGGACCTTCACAGCCAGGTATCCCTCCTGATTTTTATCTGCCACATGTGTGTGGGACTGGCCCATCTGGGCCTCTGCCCCTCTTACCAGTTTTGTTGTGGCTTCTTTTTTAATTTTGTAATTGTAGGACTTCCAATCAACTCAATTTCAGGTGGTTCTGAACAATGTTTGTTCTGTAGTTTAGTTGTAATTTTGATGTGTTTATGGGAGGAGGTGAGTACCGTGTTTATCCATGCCGCCACCTTGACTGAAAGTCACAAACTCTTCCTTTGAAGTGTCTTTGTTCCTTTAACATTGCCCTGTTGTAAGAATTCAAGCCACATTTGAAAAATTATAAAATATACATTGAGGAAACAATCCATGTGTCCATTCAAAATGAATGGGTAAACAAAATGTAGCATATACATTCAATGGAATATTATTCAGCCTTAAAAAGGAAGGAAATTCTGATACAACATGAATAAACCTCAAAGACATTATGCTAAGTGAAATAAGTCAGACACAAAAGGACAAATTTTACATTATTCTACATGTATGAGGTATCACGGAGACAGAAAAGAGAATAGAAGATACCAGGGGACTAGGGCGAGGAGGGAAAGGGGAGTTATTATTTAATGGGCACAGAGTTTGAGTTTGAATGATGAGAAGCTTCTGGAGATGGATAGTGGTAAATGTTGCACAACAATGTGAATGTTCTCTCTGTTGCTCAACTGTATACTTAAAAATGGTTAAGATGGTAAATTTTATGTATTTTTCATAAGTTAAAGAAAATACCCCCAATATAATATATATTTTAAAAGTACAAAACAATAAATAAATAAAAAGTACATAAATATACAGTTTAAGAAATATGTATAGCTGCCCGGCCAGTGTGGCTCAGTAGCTGAGCATCAACCCATGCACCAAGAGGTTGCTGGTTTGATTCCTGGTCAGGGCTCATGCCCAAGTTGTGGGCCTGATCCCCAGTGTGGGGCATGCAGGAGGAGGCAGCCAATCGATGTTCTCTCTCATCAATGTTTCTATCTCTCTTTCTCCCTTTCTCTCTCTCTCTAATACATAAAAAAAAAAAAAGAAATATATAAAGTAACCCCGGCCAGTTTGGCTTAGTGGTTAGAGCATCAACCCATGGACCAAAGGGTTGAGGGTTTGATTCCTGATCAAGGGCACGTACCTGGGTTGCAAGTTCGATCCCCGGCCCTGGTTTTGGCAGTGTGGGAGGCAACCAATTGATGTCTCTCTCTCACATTGATGTTTTTCTCTCTCCTTCCCTTCCACTCTTTCTAAAAAATCAATGGAAAACAGGATTAACAACAACAACAAAAAGAAATATATAAAGCAAATATGTATGACGGGGGGTAAAAGTAGGTTAATAATAATAGATACAATAACAAATAAATAAGTAATAATACAAGAATAAACTCTGTTTTAATCATACAACAGAAAACCTACCTTTGCCCACCACTACTTTTTGACCACTTAGGTCAAAAGTTAAAATTCTATCAGAGGGTACATGCTCCCCACCCCAATCCTTTTCTTCCTTACTGAGTAACCACTACCCCGACTCTAACCTTTCTTTTTAAAAATTAGGCTGTGATGTGATAATGCAACATAAGTTAAATCAACACTACTAAATGCAAGAGTATCTAAATTCCAATATTTTCCATAATTTCACAACTTTTTATCACAACTTAATAACTTTTAAAGTGCTCTTTTTCTTCTTCTTTTGCTCTTGAAACTCTTCATATTCTGAAACGTATCTTGGTTCCACAGTTGACCTCACCTGCAAAATTAAAAAAAAACCACACACACGCAAACCAACAACGAATTCTGTGTAGATTTTAGATTTTTATTCCTCCCTCTCTATTACCTCCAACTACAAAGAAACAGTGATTTAAACTCTTTGTGCTCTTTTAGAAAATTACACAGATACCCCATTGTGGAACCTTATAATCCGTTCGTGGAAAGGAAGAGATTAGCATATGAATATAAAGCAAAATTAATCCAGAATACAAAATGATCTACTGATTGTGAAGCTCTTGTAATCTTAAAAATGTATTTATTTCTTCTTTTTGTATTGCTCCTTTAGTGGTCTGAGGGTTAAGGGAACTGAGCTTCCCCTCTGGTTACCCGGAAAAGGATTAAAAAAAAAAAAAAAGCCAATAGATTCTGAGACGCAAAACCAACAGATGGCTCCCGGAGCCAGTGGAATCGCCCGTGGAATCTGCTACATTCGACATGAGCTTGCTTGCCGGCGAGGAGTGTAGAAAGTGCTGTTCGCAGACTGCACGGTGAAGGAGAGAAAGCGACACAAGAGTGAGCCATAGTGCTGACGTTGAAGGCCCGGCCCTGTGAGGTTGCACAGGGTAAGTGGTGTTGGCCAGGAGGCTCTGGTGAAGAGGAAGGAAAGAGGATTTAGCTAGGGGCGGGGCCTTGCGGCGCAGCGTGGCTCCTGATTGCTGGATAGAGGCTGCCAATCTCGCAAAATCGCTGGGTTAACCAGTGCGCTGGCGAGACGCGCTCAGATATACTGAGTGAGCCCGGAGAAGCAGTCTCAGATCCTGACGGTGCAGCAGCCCGTAGCCTCTGCCAGGGAGTCCCAGCCGCTTTCAATGGAGGAGAAGCCCGGCCAGCCACAGCCTCAGCACCATCACAGCCACCACCATCCGCACCATCACCCCCAGCAGCAGCAGCAGCCGCACCACCACCACCATTATTATTTCTACAACCACAGCCACAACCATCACCACCACCACCATCACCAGCAGCCTCACCAGTACCTGCAGCATGGAGCCGAGGGCAGCCCCAAGGCCCAGCCAAAGCCGCTGAAACATGAACAGAAACACGCCCTCCAGCAGCACCAGGAAACGCCGAAGAAGAAAACAGGTCTGTGAAGGAGGACGAGTGGGGGAAGGGGGATGGGGGTGGGGGAGAGGGGCGATGGGGGTGGGGCTGGGTCTGGAAAGCGCGCACCGGGTCGGGGTGTGGGTGTGTGTATGTCCGTCTGTCCTGCGGCTCTGGGAAGCCCGTTTCATTTCTCCCGAAGCTTGGGCTGGGCCGCAGGGGTTGCAGCGCGCTCTCCTTCCCCTCAGCATGGGAGAGGCCCAACTAGGCCAGCGTGACCTTCCCGGCCCCCGCCCGGGCTGGTGGGAGACCTGGAGCGTTGGCCTTGGAAGTCTGGCCTTCTTATTCCTTTTCCGCTTACCTTCCTGCGGCCCTGGGAAGACCTTAATTTGGGGGCCTTGAGTTGGGGTGAGCTTAGCCCCCCAGAATCCCTCTGGGTGTAACTCAAGGAAGGCTTGGCGAATCCCGACTATGGTGGTGTCGCGAGACCCGATTGCAGGCGGCAAGCAAAGGGTAGGTGGGCAGAGTTGAGGAAGTACCCTCCCTCACCCTCCGCTCCAAGCCCACCTGTGGCCTTGGGGTTCCCCGTCTGGGGTTGGGGGGCGGTTGGGACCCCTCTTCTCTCTGGTCATTCCCACCCTAGATGCCCCTTTTGGGCACCGGACCCCGCAGTCAGTCCCCGCGGCTCCTCCCGTGGCCGGCGCCCCGGGCCCGCTCCCCCCCAGAGCCGGCGCGGCTGGAATGTTCTCTCCTCCTCGCGGGGCCGCTTCCTGTCCGCCATGTTGGAAGCCGATTCCTGTCACAGACTCCGGCCCTCTGAGGAGCGGAGGGGGGAGGGTGTAGAGGGGCACCCGGCGCGGCGGAGCCGGTGGCTCGGGATTCCACCCGCGATCCCTTTGCCCCTTGCACTGCGGGGGCGCTGCCGCCCCCGGCCGCCCCTCCCCCGTCGCCGGCCGGGTTGTGTAACCTGGTGGCGGCCGCGCGGCCCCGGGCGGGTCCCTGGGGTGAGGGGTGGGGGAGGGAAACGGCCACGAGGGGAGCGGCCTGTGCCGGCCCCGCGCGCTGCCTGCCGCGTTTCCCGCTCCCGGGTGCGGCGTGAGGCGCAGGCGGTCGGGCGGGGAGCTGGTCTCGAAGCGGAGCCGAGAGAGAAAGAGGCCGCAGACGGCGGGCGGCATCCGCGGCGCTCCTCCGGGCAGGAGGGCCGGGGTGGGGGGATACATTTTGGGTAGAGGCGGTGCCTGAAGGCCGGGTGGGGTACCCGGCGGGAACCGGGCTCCCGGGTCACGAGTTTCTCTGCCACAGGAACCTCGTCTCCTGCCAGGTTCGCTCACGACTCCGCCTCTCAGGCTTTCGCTTGGTCCCTTTCCTTCTAGCAGCTCATTTTTACAAGAAAAGGTGGTTCTATCTCCCTCTAATCCTCCCTCCCCCTAATTTACCTCCTGGGCTTGGGTGGTATTTTTGAGGAAAGAGAACTGAAAAATGTGTGATTGTAAGGGGGGGAGAGGGCACGTTTTTTGACCCGTTATTTGTCCTTAAGGGTGAAGTGAGGTGGCTCATCTTGCCTCAGATGAGGCATTTTTCCACTTTGAAGGGAGGAAAGGTGTTTTCCTGTTTTCAAACCGATATTGATCCCCAAACTCCTGTTTCTAACAAACGTTGAGGGTAAAAGTCATGTTAGAAAATATTTGAGGAGAAATAAACTTAAAAGTTTATGACCACGCAGATTTTAAAAAATAAGTGTTTATACATTGAAGAGAAATGAAGGGAATGGTAAAATGAATGTTAAACCCAGAGTTTCAAATGTGATACATATAGAGTTACTAAAAGCAGGAGAAAAACTGCTTTTCTGTTGCAGGCTTAATGTGACTAGAAGACTGAAATTGAAATGTCACTTTGGGGGGGGAGGGGGTAGGACTGATGGTGTGCAGTATAAATGAACATATAAATGTGTTTAATCTTAAGAATTTGAAACACTTTAAAAACAGATACTGTACAACACTGGATCTTTTTAGTGTTAGTCTTTTTCAACTTAAAGGTGAGAAAATTGTACCTTAATATGATTGCTTGGAATATAAGGCAATATTACTAAACGGTATTTTGTTAGTCAGATATTAATATACCCCTGCAGGACTCCTCTCTACACATAGAATAGCCCTTGAACCATTCAAAGTGGCATCCTTCAGATTAGTACATCTTATTCCAGGAGGGGATAGAGAGGGAAAACTGGGATTAACAGGTTTGAGAGAACAAACAATTTGGGAGGAGCAGTTTTTCATGTGTGGCCTGGTCACAGTACGTTGCTTGAACATACGTAATACTAATTTACTAAGAAATCTTAAGAGAATTTTTGAAATGTATCTGCAATATGTTGAGGTAGGCTTTTATGATTTACAAACCTATAAAGAGGAACAATTTCTCTTTATCCAGAAGAGGGCGCAAAAGAGACCCAAATGTGCTCAGTAATTTCAGTTTCTAATCTAAAAGCTAGATTTATCAGGATACAAGTTTCACTGAGTCCATTTGAAGTAGGGTTAGATGCTTTAGCATGGCAACCCTGGATAATAAAAGCACTAGGAGGAGCCCTAGCCAGTTTGACTCAGCTGTTAGAGCCTCGATCAGCCCCAGCCCCATGGACCAAAGAGTTGTGGGTTCGATTCTAGTCAAGAGCGTGCCTCGGTTTCCATTTGGTCCCAGTCCTGGTCGGGGTCCTGCAGGAGGCAACTAATGATGTGTCTCTCTCACATCCATGTATCTCTCTCTCTCCCCCTCCCCACTCTGTCTGAAAATAAATGGAAAAATATATCCTCAGGTGAAGATTTTTTTAAAAAGCACTAGGAGGAGAGGGGGAGTTTTTCTCATTACTTTTAGTGTTTACATTTTCGTAAATACTTAAATTTTAAAAAAATGTCTTGTGGCAAACTTTGCATACCAACAAGGTTACTGCGGGAAAATTTTTATATAGTTAAGTGAGAAAAATTATTTGTTATTAAAACTTGGAGGTGGAAACTGGCTTCTGAGCTGTTTTTTAACTGGGGATTTCTGATATCAGAGACACTAAATATTAGTAATCTTATAAAAAATTATTTAAAAAATTTGTTTTCATCATTGATTTTAGAGAGAGAGAAAGGGGGAGAGAGAGAAAGATAGAAACATTGGTGAGAGACAACATTGATTGGCTGCCTCCTGCATGCTCCCCACTGGGGATTGGGCCCACAACCTGGGCATGTGCCCTGACTGGGAATGGAACTGGCAGCCTCTTGATGCATGGGGTCGATGCTCAGCTACTGAGCCACACCAGTCGGGCTTACAAAAAATTATTATAGTTCCCTTAAAAATTTTGGCTTTGGTCCAGCTTGGTTTGGACATTGGATTTTTTTAATGTTTAAGACTGCTTACCTTTGAGATCTGGAAAGTTATGACTAATGGGCCCAAGGGTACAAGCCTTTGTTAGCCTGTTAGCATATTAAATGCTATGTGTAGTTATTCTTTTTGGCTTAGAGTTGTACACAGGTAAACATATGTGTTAAAAATGTTGACAGCCTCTATATTGGGACTTTCTGCTTTTCTAAAAAATCGTTTTAGAAAACATCCTAAGTAGTGATCTCTTTACTGTTTCAGAGTTACAATTTTTCCATCAAGTTTGACTCGATTGGCTAATACAGCCTTTTCAGCAGCCAAAAAGAAAATACTACTCTGCAGAAGTTAACTTATACAGAATATATTCTCATGGTACACGTTTTGTGCCACTCTTAGGACATGATTATGTCTTAAGCATGTTTTCTTGGGTTATTTCCCGAAAGTTAATATATTAGAAGAAAATGCCTGTTATGTGCTCATTTTAGTATTCCCACTTTTTTCTCTGATGTAGAATGAGTAACTTAAAAGTAAGCCCTGTTGTGAATCTTCCCAGACTGTTCTATTCCACATCAAGTTTTTTTAAAACAATGGTTCCCAACTTTTTTTTAAATCTTAGCATTCCTGTACTCTTAAAATATGCAAAGAGCTCACTTGCACGCTCTCTCTCTTTGTGTGTGTGTGTGTGTGTGTGTGTGTGTGTGTGTGTGAATCCTCACCCAAGGATATTTTTTCCATTGATTTTTATAGAGCAGGGAAGGGGGGGAGAAACAGAGAGAGATAGACAGATCAATGTTGATTACCCCACCCAGGGTTGGGGGTCGAAACTGCAACCCAGGTACATTCCCTTGACCAGGAATCGAACCTATGACCCTTTGGTGTGTGGGCCGATGCTCTAACCACTGGAATATACCAGCCAGGGCAAAGAGCTTTCAATGTGGGTTATATCCATTGATATTAGAAATTAAAACAAAATTTTGAAACAAGGCTATACAAGCTCATGTGCCTTTTAACCTTCACAGACTAAAGGCCCAAGAGAATGAATGAAAGTATCAAAGGCAGATTATTTGGTATTCCTGTTGGAGGCCTACCCCCTACTCCCTGTAAAGCTGCCTTAAGTGAATGTATGTGTATATCAGTCTATTGTGTATCTGTTGCTAATGACTTGACCTCATGATGTTTTGGAAATATTTCATAGAAAGGTGGATAACTAATATCACTATTTTACTAGTAAGGAAATGGGAAAGGTTGGACTCAGTTGAATCACCTATAGTAATAAATTGTTTGTGGCAGTTGAAGGTCTTAAACTTGAATACCATAATGCTTTTTAAAATTAGTTACCTTTCATTGTAGTTTTGTTTGTAAATATGTTCTTACTGCATCATTTTGGTAGGCAGTCTGACATAGTGATAGGAAACCATGTTCCAGACAGACTGGAATTCAGCTTTCTAGTTCTTCCACTTTGTGACTTGGGCAAGTTACTTAATTTCTCTGAGATTCTGTTTAATCAAATGTAAAATGAAGAAAATATATCTTATAAGATTTAGAGCCCTAGCTGGTTTGGCTCAGCGGTTAGAGTGTCGGCTTGCGATCCAGAGAGACTTGGGTTCGGTTCCCACTGAGGGCGCATACCTCGGTTGCCGTTTGTCCCCAGCCCTGGTTGGTCGTGTGGGTGGCAGCCACTTGATGTGTCTCTTTCACATCGATGTTTCTCTCTCTCTCTCTCTCCCCCTCCCACTGTATCTGAACAAAAAATGGAAAAATGTCCTCGGGTGAGGATTAAAAAAAAGTTAGAAACATTAGTATATAGGTGTTTTGGTTTTATATAAAAGTGTGACCTAATGTCTGGGAAGTGTCAAAATGAATTTAACTACTTCGAAAAAACTTCACAGGTGTTAGATTTTTGTTTGACAGTGCAATAGAAACTGCTTATGGTCACCACTAGTCATTTATGGTTTCATAGAAATGAAGTCTTGTGAGACTGATGGGGAGGTTGGTTCTGTTAGATGAGGTATTATAGCACTGCTGAAGAAGTTATATTCTTTCTGGACTTTGGTTTGAATCCCTGCTTTGTCCTATCTTATTTAGTCGACTTCCTAATCTGTAAAATGGAGTTGACAGGTGTCTTTTTAGAGAACTATGAAATTGTAACATAAAACTAAAGCTCATAGCATAGTGTCTAGCACACAGTAAAGAAACATTTCTTAAATGTTAAATACTACTATAATTTGTATATTGTAATTTTTAAAAAACTTTTTTTCTCCCCTCTTTAGGCTATGGTGAACTAAATGGTAATGCTGGAGAAAGAGAAATACCTTTAAAGAACCTTGGTTCTGATGAAGCTACCAACCCTATTTCCAGGGTCCTCAATGGCAACCAACAAGTTGTAGACACTAACCTGAAGCCGACTGTGAAGTCCAGCACCTTTGGAAAAGCAGGAATTAAAACCAGGAATTTCATTCAGAAAAACAGTATGGACAAAAAGAATGGAAAGTCATATGAAAATAAGTCTGGAGAGAACCAGTCTGTAGACAAGAGTGATACTGTAGCAATTCCAAATGGTGTTGTAACAAATAATTCTGGCTATATTACTAATGGTTATATGAGCAAAGGAGCAGACAATGATGGTAGTGGATCTGAGAGTGGATACACCACTCCTAAAAAAAGAAAAGCTAGGCGCAACAGTGCCAAGGGATGTGAAAACCTTAATTTAGTGCAGGACAAAATAATGCAACAAGAGACCAGTGTCCCAACCTTAAAACAGGGACTTGAAACTTTCAAGCCTGACTACAGTGAACAAAAGGGAAATCGAGTAGATGGTTCAAAGCCCATTTGGAAGTATGAAACTGGGCCTGGAGGAACAAGTCGAGGAAAACCTGCTGCGGGTGATATGCTGCGGAAAAGCTCTGATATTAAACCTGGTGTGAGCAGCAAAAAGTTTGATGATCGGCCTAAAGGAAAGCATGCTTCTGCTGTTGCCTCCAAAGAGGACTCGTGGACCCTATTTAAACCACCCCCAGTTTTCCCAGTAGACAATAGTAGTGCTAAAATAGTTCCTAAAATAAGTTATGCAAGCAAAGTTAAGGAAAACCTCAACAAAACTGTACAGAACTCTTCTGTGTCACCATCTTCATCTTCATCCTCTTCATCATCTACTGGGGAAAACCAGACCCAATCTTCAAGTCGGTTATCCCAGGTCCCTATGTCAGCGCTGAAATCTGTTACTTCGGCCAACTTTTCTAATGGGCCTGTTTTAGCAGGGACTGATGCAAATGTGTATTCTCCAGGGAGTCAGCCACTGCTAACTACTGCTGCTAACACTCTGACACCCATCTCTTCTGGGACTGATTCAGTTCTCCAGGACAAGAGTCTGACTTCAGCAGCTGTTGAACAAATTAAGTCTAGCCTTTTTATCTACCCTTCAAATATGCAAACTGTGCTGTTGAGCACAGCACAAGTGGATCTACCCTCTCAGACAGATCAGCAAAACCTGGGGGATATCTTCCAGAATCAGTGGGGCTTGTCATTTATAAATGAGCCCAGTGCTGGCCCTGAGACTGTTATTGGGAAGTCATCAGATCATAAAGTGATGGAGGTGACATTTCAAGGGGAATATCCTGCCACTTTGGTTTCACAGGGTGCTGAAATAATCCCCTCAGGAACTGAGCATCCTGTGTTTCCCAAGGCTTATGAGCTGGAAAAACGGACTAGTCCTCAAGTTCTGGGAAGCATTCTAAAATCTGGGACTACTAATGAGAGTGGAGCCTTATCCTTGGAACCCAGTCATATAGGTGACCTGCAAAAAGCAGACACCAATAGTCAAGGTGCTTTAGTGTTTCTCTCAAAGGACTACGAGATAGAAAATCAAAATCCTCTGGCGTCTCCTACGAACACTTTGTTAGGCTCCGCCAAAGAACAGAGATACCAGAGAGGCCTAGAAAGAAATGATAGCTGGGGTTCTTTTGACCTGAGGGCTGCTATTGTATATCACACTAAAGGTAACTCATTTGTTTCCTATACAAAGATTCTTACTGGTCAATTTAATATATATTTATTAGCTGTTGTATTAAGGGTGAATTTTGTAAATAACTGAGATTTTTTAAGAATTTTAGAATTTAGTTAATATGGATAAGCAGCTGATAACAAACTAATCCAGGGTCTTTGGAAATAGTATGGTTAAAGTTTAGAAGGAATGTTCATTTTTCCAATTTAAAAGCATTTCTTTATGTAGACAAAGAATAATTGACCTGCCTGGTTCAAAGAAGAAAGAGTGGTGCCTACAGGGATGATGTTAAGATGATGTTACATTTTCTCCTGAACTTTCTTAAAAGTGCTTTTAAAAAATTTTTTTGAACAGATGTTTTCTCTCTTTTGCTTTTTACATCATATACTTCTTTATTGGTGAGCTTACTTGATAGTTGTATTAACTTAAAATCAGTAGGAATAATGGGTGGCAAATGGTGACTAGAAAATAATTTAGACAAATTACAATGGTAAGCACAGTTAGCATTGTAGGAACCAGGCTCTTAGGAAGCTGTACTTTCATAGTCCCAAAGCCCATGTTAGAAAGGAACCAGATAACCCTGACTAGTTTGGCTCAGTGGTTGGAACATCAGCCTGCGGACCAGAGAGTCTCAGGTTTGGTTCTTGCTAGGGGCACGCACCAAAAAAAAAAGGGGGGGGGGACCAGATAGCTTTAAAGGTACACTTCGATAACTTTTCTTAGAATATGGTTTATTTGTGTCTTAAAGAAAAATTTGCTGTATTGCATAAATGAGTTTATTTAAATCCACAAAACAAATATATGAGGTTTAATGACGTTTACAACTTCAGTGCTTTTAAGAAGTGGTTTTCATTTTTCCACCTTCATCCTTCACCTTCCCTCCTAAGCAGATGCATACCCCATGCATTTATGCACACACCTAATATATACTGCACATTCCCATTGAAAATTATTTTTTTAAGTTGATTCATCTCCCAATTTCTGTTGACATACAATGTTAGTTTCATGCACATTTCCATTTTTAACAGTGACTCATTTGGGCAGCATATACAGTGGGGCTGTCGTAATTAGCATATTCTTCCTGGAAGAATCACTGCCTCAGAGATGAATAACAAAGCTATTTATGTGACTTTTAAGCAAATTACCTAGTCTGCATACCTTTCCTTATCTGCAAACTGGAAGACATTTAGTGAAATAGATACCATTTTTTTCTCTTTCTTCCTTTAAAAAAATGGGAGCAAGTAGAATTGCCTTATAGGAATTTAGAAGTAGAAATCTTGGCAGGTAAAATGATCTTTCTTCACTTTTCTCCAGCACTGCTCTTTGGAAGTACATATAAGTTAATTAACCCTGGCTGGGTAGCTCATCTGATTAGAGCATGAACCTTATATGTCAAGGTCTTGGGTTTGATCCCCAGTCAGGGCACATACAAGAAGTAACCAATGAGCCCAGCCAGTGTTGCTCAGTGGTTGATCATCAACCCATACACCAAGAGATTGCTGGTTTGATTCCTGGTCAGGCCACATGCCTGGGTTGTGGGCCCAATCCCCAGTGGGGTGCATGCAGGAGGCGGCTATTTGATGTTCTCTCTCATTAATGTTTCTATCTCTCCCTCACCCTCTCTCTTTCAAATCAAAGGGAAAAGAATTTTAAAAAGAAGCAACCACTGAATACGTAGATGGGTAGAACAACAAATTATTTCTCTCTGTAAAATCAATTTTTAAAAAAGCTTAACCAGGAGCTGTATGTTAGGAAAGTTACAACAAAAAAAGAATACTTTGTTTCTTGAGACATGGTTAATAAGTTCAATTCTGCTAGGGCACATGGGTGTTCCTGGTGTTATTTTCTATGCCATCTACCCTTTAGAGACCATTATTTGGAAAACCTATGAAAGTATTTTGTATTGATGGTCATTGTGTGAGCCTGGGAGGATATCTGTTGTGTTATCTCTCACAAATTGCAAACAATTTGTTTCATTAGATGGTTGGTTGGTGGTTTTGTGTGATTTTTGTTATGGAGAACTGAAGGCCTTTCAAAATGGGAGTATTAACTCATATTTATTTCTAGGTATTCTGTATGCGTTTTCCCTATAGATAGGCTAACTAAATATGAAATTGATGGTATTTAGATAAACTAAATGCCCCTACATGGATGCAGTTAAATTTAGATTTGTTGGTGTTACTGAAAGATTTGCTTTGGTAGAGTGGGTTGTTTTGATTTTTGTAGTTGGAAATTATTGAGATTAAATTGGAATAGATTGCTCCTCTCCCCCACGATATGGAATATTCTGTTCAATTAGATTCCAAAGTGGCAGGTTCTTTGAATTTCTGCCAAATGTAGATTGGTCCATTAGGGTACTAATTTCTTTTTTTCTTTGAATTTGTTGTTTTTTGTTTTATCCTCACCCAAAAACATTTTTGCGTTTATCTTCAGATAGAGCAGGAGGGAGAGGGAGGAAGAGAGAGAGAAACATCGATGAGAAAGAGACGCATCGACTGGTTGCCACCCATGCAGGACCTCAACCAGAGTGGGGACAAACCGCAACCGACGGGCCCTTAGCAGGAACGAAACCCGGGACTCTGATTTGCGGGCTGACGTTCTAATCACTTAGCCAAACAGGCCAGGGCTCTTTGAATTTGTTTTGAATCGCAACTTCTTGAAGCTCTGAAGATCTTATTCATAAGTGAGGGCTTCCTTTTTTTTTTTTTTTTTTTTCCCCTTAAACCCTAAAGGAGGTAGTAATCAGTAGGGCTTATTAGAATATTCTTTAAAAGAGCATCTGTATTGCCCTGGCCGGTTTGGCTCAGTTGTTGGAGCGTTGGCCCCCGGACCAAAGAGTTGTGGGTTTGATTCCAGTCCAGGACATACACCTCAGTTACAGTTCAGTCCCCAGCCCTGGTCAGTGTCATGCAGGAGGCAACCAGTTGATGTGTCTCTCTCTACCCTCTACCCTCCCACTCTATCTGAAGATAAATGGAAAAATATATCCTTAGGTAAGGATTAAAAAAATTGAGCATCTGTGGTATTATTTTCTTAGTTCTTTAATCTAGTCTTCAAATGTTCAAAAGGACTCTCTTACCAAGTGAGTTGAAGTTAGAATGGGAAGTTCTGTGTATACCTTCTAATTTCAAAAATAAGCCCTTCACCTTTATTTGGAAATAGTAGATAGGAGGGTGCATTATATCAGTTCAGTAGGAATGGTGCATGTTTTGTTTATTTATTTTTTATTCTCACTGAAGACATTTTTTCATTTATCTTCAGACAGAGTGGGGGCGGGGGGGGGAGGAGAAACATTGATGTGAGAGAGACACATCAATTGGCTACCTCCCGTACATGCCCTTGACCAGAATCGAACCCTCGACTCATTGGTCTGCAGGCCAACGCTCTAACCACTAAGCAAACTGGCCAGGGCTAAATGGTGCATCTTTTAGATGAAACATTAATTACTTGTAGCCTTAGAAATTCTTCAGGTTATTAAAATCTGAATGCCCAGTACAGTTGGATATGAAATGAGGATACATTGAGGCATAAAAAAGGGATTGATGGGAATTCTGGTTTGGGGGATTTTTCTTTTCTTTTTTATATATATATTACGATACTAACTTTTAAGAAATAAGACTGCTAATCTTTGTCTTACCTGGAAGACCTAAGTACTACTACATAGCAGTACCAATATTTAAGGTGAGGTATGTCCTCTTTTCCTGTTTATCTAAAGTGATATCTTTGCCCTGGCCGGTTTTGCTCAGTGGTTAGCGCGTCGGCCTGCGGTCCTGAGAGACCCGGGTTCGGTTCCCGCTAAGGGCCCGTACCTCGGTTGCAGTTTGTCCCCGGCCCTGGTCGGTTGTGCAGGTGGCAGCCACTCAATGTGTCCCTTTCATGTCGATGTTTCTCTCTCTCTCTCTCTCTGTTCCTCTCTCCCTCCCACTCTACCTGAACAAAAAATGGAAAAATGTCCTCGGGTGAGGATAAAAAAAATAAATAAATAAAGTGATATCTTTTTTTATCCTCATCCGAGGACATTTGTCCATTTTTTGTTCAGATAGAGTGGGAGGGAGAGAGAGGAAGAAATAGAAACATTGACGTGAAAGGGACACATCGAGTGGCTCCCTCCCTCATGACCCAACCAGGGCCAGGGACAAACTGCATCCGAGGTACGTGCCCTTAGTCGGAACCAAACCCCGGTCTCTCTGGACTGCAGGCCAACACTCTAACTGCTGAGCTAAACCAACTAGGGCTAAAGTGATATTTTTTAATTGATTATGAAAAAGTTTATGTATACACAAAAATGGAGCCAATAATATAATGAACTCCAGCGTATCCAGTATCTTGCTTTGGACATCTAAAAAGCATTGTAATTCTTGTTTCAACTAGCTACCTTCATATTTTTTGTGGTAGGAGTTTTTAAAAGCAAATTCAGTGTGTAACATTTTACTAGTCGGTACTTTGAGTATGTTAGAGTGATAGCTTTGATGCACATACCCAGGGCATGCAACTGTTGCCTCCTTCAAAGTAGTTACTTAGAAATTCTTAGTTTAGTTGAATTGTTTGATTTGTTGTCAAAGGTTTATAATATTAGATTCTAACTTTCTAAGGTGAATCTGGTTTTGAAATGGTCTAAGTCATTTGAAGCCAAGTATGTTGAAATATGGTAGATATGATGTGAGTTGTGTGTTTGGTTAGTGTTAATTTAAATCAGGTTGTTTTATCTTACCTGGTTAATGTTGCACTGAAATATATCAAACATTGAAAATGCTGACATTTTGGAATATTCATGAAAAATAATTGGATATGGTAAATTTTACCCAGCACATAGAGATTTAGGGGAGATGAATAAGATTTAATTCTTTTTTTTTTTTTTTTTTTTTTTTTTTTTTTTTTTTATCCTCACCCGAGGACATTTTTTCCATTTTTTGTACAGATAGAGTGGGAGGGAGAGAGAGGAAGGGAGAGAGAGAGAGAAATATCGATGCGAAGGGACACATCGAGTGGCTGCCA